TCCTATCTTTAGCTTGAAATTAGACAGCATTATTTGATTTGTTTAGGATAATCTTAAGTGAAAAACTGCACAGCAGATTCCAAAGAATGGTGAGGTAGCCAGGCCACCTGGCTTCTTAGAGGCAGCCGCACTCTAACCTGCTGCACGCCTCTGGACACATCATTCTGTCGCGTCATCTGTACTGTGAGAGGATAATGACGCCTGTCCCTGTGGCTCCTTGGGGCTGTTATGAGACGCAGACTCGATCTGGCTGAGAACGTGTTGCGAGCGCACACAGACAGGGTATGCACACGGAGGCGCCCTCCATGGGAGCCAGAACCTAAACTTCTGGGAATAAGTTTCTGGGCTGTGTTCCCAGCTGCGTTCCCCTTGGTTTGGTGATTGTGAGCAGAGCCCATGAGGTTTGAGAAGCTGTGTTAACACATGAGTACAAGAAGATGAGAGAGAAATGATAATATTTCTTTCTCCGTAGGGGACTTCCAGCATCTCTGAGGAAACAGAATTTCTTTTGATCATAGAAGAGCAGAAAAGGATATTAACCATGGAGTGTCCACTGGTGAGAGGGTTTCTGTGTATCCGAAACCTTCACAGATGACGAAGAGCCGTGATTAAAGAAAACAAGCTGAAAGTAAGGCTATGCTTTGCACAGGTCACTAGCTGCACAGGTTTGGGGTCCAGCACCAGACCTTCTGTCTTTGTGGACCGCACCATGCCTCCCAAATTCTGCCGTCCCTCCCAGTGTCTCCACAGAGGTAAGCAAGAAGAAACAAGTCTGAAAGTTATGAAACAAAGTAGATAGCGACTTCCCTGGTGGTTCAGTGGTTAAGGCTTTGCCTTCCAATGCAGGGGGCTGTGGGCTCTTTTCCTTGTCAGAGAGCAAAGATCCCACATGCCTCGTGGCCAAAAAAACTCAATACAAGACAGAACTAATGTTGTAACAAATTCAATAAAGACTTTAAAAATGGCCTCTATCAAAAAAATCTTAAAAGATAATCCGGACCACTGACAAAGTCCAGTGCCTACAGGACCATGGCAAATAGGAGAACATGTATTATTCAGTGAAGACTGCCTACCATTCAGCTGCAGCCTCTTGCTGCCATAGTGGATGGTAAGAATGTGTGTGCATGTGTGTGTGTGCGCATGTGTGTGTGTGGATGTGTTTGTGTGTGTGTGGATGTGATGGAGCTTGGCAGCTGGGATGCATGCTAAGTTGCTTCAGTTGTGTCTGACTCTTTGGGACCCCATGGATTGTAGCCACCTCCAGGTTCCTCTCTCCATAGGATTCTCTAGGCAAGAATACTGGAGTGGTTGCCATTCCCTTCTCCAGGGGATCTCCCAACCCAGGGACTGAACCCACATCTCCAGCATTGGCAGGAGGTTTTTTACCCCCTGGGATACCTGGGAAGCTGGGAAGGGCTTGGACCATCAGTGTATCTACAGCAGCAGAAAGCAGGAGCAGAAGTAGTGAGGATGAATAATCTCACACCCACGCGACTCGGTACTGGATCCCTCCAGGAGATGCCCTGGTTTAAGCAGGGGCACTGCAGAGCCACCAAGAGTTAATATCTTCCCCAGGCCTAACCATGTCTCCCTCTGGGTGTTCAAGGGAAAATCTGTAGAAATGTAAGTTTCTCAGAGCCAAAGGTATGCCTCTGTTTCAAAGGACCTCCCCAGGCCAATCCTGATGGGGCCAAGCAAAACACTCCCAAGAGTGGGATGAGACTGTGGCTGCTGGTTTGAGTCTTTTTTTAAGGGAAGAGAATCTGTTCCAAATTAGCTCCTAGGACAGTGCTTTACCCTTATTTCAAACAGTCTCTTTGCTTCCTTCTTTGGTCTCTGTTGTCATCCTCTTCTGCTTCTCTGTTATTTTATTTTTGATTGTTTTGTTTTTTAGTAAGCAAGAGCCTGATTTCCTTTCTCACGTCTCTCCTAATCCTGAATTCATAATCACAGACCCAAGGGGAGACAGAAGCTGTCATTCTTAGAGGAGCTGGAGTAGGAAGAAAAGATGAAGCTGGAAATGATTTACTTGGGGTGACTCTAAGTGTCAACATCTCTTGCATATTTTGATGCTTTGGAGACGATAACGAAACTCTTCTCGAATTTGCATTTGGACCTTCCACTTTGAAGCAATAGCTGCTGACAACAGGGTCTGGAATCCTGGGACCTCAGAGAACTCCTTGGCCCCTGGACTTTTGTCATTTTCTGGAAGAAGGGGAGAGAGTCTTTCCTGTGACTTCCCTTACAGAGGTGGCCAAAGATAAACATTAGCCCAACACAACTGCACCCAAGTGTGTAGATCACAGGTCAGAATGTCATCTGAAACTTCACGCCCCGACCATGGAGAAAATGACTCTGGTTAGTGCCAAAGACAGACCCATCTCGCTTTGTGGAAGTAGCACTAGTGAAACATAAACACACCTCCTTCTCCCAGATGCTCAGGGCTCTGTTTACAGATTAAATCTCAGGATGTATATATTTGATGTTCGTATTCCAGGATATTAATGGCAAAATGAACTTGTCTGGTGATGGCTCCGTCACATTAATGTCTGATGGACGGTTCAGATGTGAAAGGTGCATGGGACGTGCTGAGGGCTCTGCGTGTGCTGGTCGGAGGCTGCAAGGCTGGAATGTGATTTTGTTTAGAGTGAACCCAAATGGAGTCGATTTAACCCTACAGGAGTAGAGTCATCTGAAATACCACAGTCCCAGAAGGCAGGGTCTTAGTAAATAGAATAAAATGTGCAAAATATTTACCTTGTGATTAGCAATCTGCCTAATGCAGTCTGGCAGCATTTTTAGGAAGCTTTGTGGGTTTTAACCATTAATTCTAAATTTATGGCCGTTTCAGAGTCCAACTAGTGATGGGGCTCTGCAGGTTCCTAAAGCCAGTTTAAATCTTCCAGAGGTACCTGGGTCATCTCCTGCCTGGAGAGATCTGGAGAGCATTGTCTCAGAAGACGCGGGACATGGCCAGGCTAAGGGGCGCTCTCTTGGGTTAGTGAACAGAGGTTTGGGTTCTGGGGGTTGGGTACAGTCTGGTTGGGAGGCGAGTCTAACCCACCAGGAAACAAATGCAGAACCAGATGGAACTGTTAGACCTAATGCCCAGGGATATGGTAGAGGATCTATCCAGACTTTGAGGGATCCACTAAGATTTGCCAACATGTTCCTCCAACATAGGGTGAATTGGCAGCTTCCCTGAGGGTCCAGTGATGAAGACTTGGTCTTTCAATGCAGTGGGGTGGGTTTGATCCCTGGTTGGTAAGCTAAGATCACACATTCCTTGCGGCCAAAAACTGAAAACAAAAAGCCCATAAAACAGAAGCAATACTGCAACAAATTCAATAACGACTTTTAAAAACTGATCCAAAAGATCTTAAAAAGAAAGAGATATGAGTTAGAAGTGACCCAAATTGAAAGCAGAGCAAGTGCCATCTTACAGCATGTAAAAGCATTCAGTGTCTTTTCACATTGTCTCGAGTTAGTGTGGTGACAGGAGTGACAGGAAAAGGAAGGTGAGAGGTACTGGATTCCCTTTTCCCTCCCCACCTGTATCTGCCTGGAAGTGTCCTCTCTTTTCCCCTTCAACCTTGTCCTGCGTTTTACCCACAGCCCTTCAGAGTCGATGGGAAGCTGCCCGCTAAGAAAAGAATACTGGCCTTGAGGTTGCTATTGCAGCCTCTTGCTCCCTGATTCATATTTGTTGTTGTTGTTGATTAGTCACTAAGTTGTGTCCAACTCTTTGGATACCCCATGGACTTTAGCCAGCCAGGTTCCTCTGTCCATGGGATTGCCTCTGCTACTTGTTTCACACTTACCCACCAAGAAACCTCATTTTCTGCTACCTTTTTGAGGTCATGGGGAAAACCTCGCTGTCTCACAGAGGACCCTCCAGGTCCAAAAGTCAACCAAGCTGGAGCCCTAAAACTGATGGTAAAGAACAATTCTGATCAAAAGGCTTATTTTAAGTTAAAACAATTGTTATAAAAAGCAAGTTTAATTTTTCCTGGATCTTGCTTTGTAATAACTAGTTGAAAGCCAACATCAGAGGCAGGTGAACATTTTTTATTTCCAGAATATTTAACTAACTACAGAATTGATTTAAAAGGCATGAACACCGTTTTCTCTTTTTCCCTGAGAGTAAGTTTCTTTGTCTCATGGACATAAAAGAAAATAACAGAAAAATATTTCAGCTCTTTAAAAACCCAGTAAAAGCCAGTCAGAACAGAGGCACTCGTTTCCCACCCTTTTTCAAGGCAATCAATCCAGCGGCCCCATGTGCCAAACTCCCTGTGAGATACGGAGGACACAGAGGTGACTCAGACGTGGCTGTTGCCCTCTGTAACCACCTTGCTCTTCAAGAGGCTGTGGTTGAGGGGCGCTCTCTATGGGGATCTCCTTTGTGGGACGAAGAGTCTCCCAAGAAACACGGTCCGGCACCTTCCATCCTTGCTGGTTCATGACTCACACTAAAAACGTCTAGGCTGAAGTGAGTTTGTAAGAAAAAAAAAAAGAAGAAAAATGAGAAGTAAATACATTTGACAATAAATTTGAGATCATAAACCTTGGGATTCTTTTTATAATACCATGTACTTCAAAATCAGGCAGTATTTTTCATTCGACATGGATTTAAAGGTAGCTCAAAGAAAACACAGGATTAACTGTAAGTAGTGGGATAGTGAGTGTGAGCCAAGCCTCCAAATAAACACATCAGAGGCTTGGTCTAAAAAAAGGCAGAACACAAATAACCTCCTCTTGATGTGCCTACAGTTTCGTTTAACTGTTCCCAGGTCAAGGACTAATTTGCCAAAAAAAAAAAAAAAGAGGTTAACTCCAGTGCAACAAGACAGCAAGTGCTTCAGGAAGCAGGCTTTGTGCATGTGGCCCGTGGAGGCTGGGCCACTCGAGGCCCGGCTGGCGGAATGGCTCTCGGACTAGCGTGTCCGAACAGTCTTTGGTGAAAGTGAGTGAACGTCACTTCCGGCGGAAGCTGGCGAGCACGGGCCTTCGCAAACATGGCGTTGGCGTATACCCACATCTTGATGTCTGCTTAGCCTACAGGCACTTGTTTGGAGAGGCTGTGGGACCTCGGGCAGCCTACTTCCCTTCCTGGGCGCGGTGTCCTCCCTGTGAAACAAGGCGCTTGGATGAGCCTCCTTTTCAAAGCCCTCCCTCCCCGGGGGCTTCCCTCCTCCAGGAAGGCTGGCCTCTGACCCCAGGAGCTTCCAACTGAAGGAGCAGTCAAGTAGCCCAAGTCCTGGGAGCTCAGCTGCAGGGCGATTTCCACTCGCGATCATCTTTCAGAGCCCTGGGACCCGAGGATGAGCGGAGCATGATAACATTTGCAGGCAGAGACTGAAGGGCTCCCTTCAGGTCACGTGGCTTCTCGATTTTCACACTTCATCATCTGCTGCCCCACCTGGCCTCACTCAGTGAGTCTCCGGGTTGTGCGTGTCGAAGTTACCTGGGGACGCTGTTAAACGTACAGCTCTCTGAGCCTTCCTTGCTCCCACGGATTCTCATTCAACATGTCTAGGCTGTAGCCAGGAAATGGCATGCTTAACAAGTACCTCCCAGGATCCGCCTTGTGCTTTGAGCACCACTGTTCTAATTGCTCTGAGTTTGGGGCTCACCCCCTGTTCAGGCCAGGACCTCATCTGACTTTGCAGCATAACAGGGAGCAAAGCGAAAGGAACATGCCAGGTATTCAATCAAAATTCAAGGAGGAACTGAATCGATGTGTAAGGAAAGCACGCATCAGAGGAAACGTCACCATCACCCAAACTACCAAACAAAGTCATGCAGAGCTTTCCAGGGGATGCTTGAGGAGCCAGGGTGAGTGGGAAGCGGGTGCAGGGCAGACTCCAAAGGTGGGTCCCCATCAGGCCACCAGAAACAGTAGGCTGCTGGCAAACGGAGGCTGCTTCTTCGGCAAACACTTCTGTCCAGAGGGGGTCCCTAAGCCCTTGCTGTATTTTAAGCTGCGACCCTCAAAATGTCAAAAGCGAGATTAAAGTGTAAATGATTGTCAACTCACTTCTGTCCTCCTGGTCCCTGGCTGAGTGTTACAGGCCTTCTGGGGATGCAGGGCAGCAGGGGAGGGGAGGGGCTGGGGACGGTCTTAAAATGTAACCGAATAGAATGAGCTCCACTCTGTCTTGGGGGGATAAAGCAGTTCACAGGCTGCTACTTTTTGTGACATAGCTTTTATGGGGGGAGAGCCAGAATATTAAGCTCATTGCTTCCAGATGGGAAGGTTGGACAAGACAGAGGGGCCTTGGCTCTGAAAGCCTGGACGCCGTGGTGCGATAGGGATGTGACATATTGAAGTAATCGAGATAGAAGATCTGGCTTTAGCCAAGGCTGTCAGATAGATACTTTTTAAAACATTACATTGTTTGTAACAAGGTATTGTGTATCCTCCCAGAAACCCTGCCGCCTGGGTCTCTGGGAAGGCAGTGAGGGAAAAAGTGTGCTTATTTTGCTTGAGTTACTAAAGCTCCTTTTATATATGAGGAATTTGGCATCTCCTGGCTGGGAGCGGCTGAGCCAACAGTCCGATGCACTTGTAATGTAGATCATGCTAGTGACTCGCTAAGTAAGTCCAGGTGCTTGCATAAGAGGCAGGGTCCTAAGCACTCCCTTCTTTGAGCCCTGAAGCAATCATGGCCCAGCGCCTCAAATGAGCCTCAAATCTGTTTAATAAATCATCTGTCTATTTATAGAGTTAATTCCAGGGAGAAATGATTCAGGCTGTCTACTGGAATCTCTTCCACCAGAGGGCGCCAATGCCCACCTCATTCATTCCAGGCTGCTCTTGTGCCAGAAATGTCAGCTCCCATGGAAGACCATTGTCCGGTTTCTTCTGCTCATGTAACCTCCGGGTCCCTGGATTCTTGCATATGGACCAACGCTCGGTGGGGATGGAAAATAAAAATCCAGACGTCTTTGGAGGGTCATCTCCAGTGTCCATAGCAGAGTTTTTGTTCTGTGTTAGGGGCAAAGGGGGCTTCCCTAGTGACCCAGATGGTAAAGAATCTGCCTGCAATGAGGGAGACCTGGGTTCAATCGCTGGCTTGGGAAGATCCTCTGGAGGAGGGCATGACAACCCACTCCAGTATTCTTGTCTGGAGAAATCCCCATGGACAGAGGAGCCTGGTGGGCTGCAGGCCATGGGGTTGCAAAGAGTCAGACACGACTTAGTGACTATGCACATACACACACAAGGGCAAGGGAGAGAAGGTCCAGCTATATTTGGAAATCTCCAGTTTGCAGGGGGCTGGTTTACTGGTGATTCTCTCTGTCAGGGACAGCTCCTCTCCTGGTGAACGTCACACCTGAAAACAGGTTGGGACATCCCTATGGACCCCCTGTATCTGCTTCGCATTTCAAAGGCTGGTAACTGTTAGGCTCGTATTTTGATTAAAATTTTGTGTTAACGGCTCCCCCCTTTCAATATAATTCCAGGATATTTAGTTTCAACCAATCATCTGCGGGGAGGAGGGGGGAGGTCTTTGATGGGAAACAGCACACTGGGAAAGCCAGCCAAGAAAGACAAGAGAGCAGTTCGGGGCTGCAGAGATGTGACAACTGAAATCTCTTTTGTTCTCCCACGCAGGCTCTGAAACCAAAGCCCCGCAAAGACAGGCGATCTACCTCTGAACTTGGGATCAAGATGGCCAATTGTCCAGGCCAGTCTTCCTGCCGCCTTGGGGGGAAGCTCCTTGAAAGTGTTTTGGCCTCAATCACCTCGTTGGACTCTGGGAAGAGGAACCCCCTACCTTTTGACACTGGCCATGGGAATATGGAGAGAAAAAATAGCAAGTCTTCAGAAAAAACAGTCTCTGGAGACTATGGTGGACAATAGTTTTAATGTCCCAGCCTCAAAATAACTCAAACTTCAGGTTACTGAGATGAATAAAGGAACTTTAGTCAAACATTATCTGGGCTTTCCAAGTGGCTTATTGGTAAAGAATCTGCCTGCCAAGGCAGGAGATATAGGAGATGTGGGTTCAAACCCAGGGTCAGGAAGATCCCCTGGAGGAGGAAATGGCAACTCACCCCAGTATTCTTTCCTGAAAAATCCTACAGACAGAAGAGCCTAGTGAGCTATAGTGCGTGTGGTCTCAAAGAGTCGGACCTCAACTGAGTGACTCAGGGCACACACACACACACACAAGTCAAACTTCAGTCCCCCTCACGCTTGCTGTAGGATGGTGGTCACTTGTTCACAGGTCTGCAGGGTCCAGGCAGGTAATGTAAATATAATCATGAAGGCATTCCTGCCGCAGAGCAAGTGCCCAATAAATATATGTTGACTCAATGAGCAAATGAAAATGGGTCTAGTAGTAGTCATTAGGGAAAGGTGTGTGTGTGTGTGTGTGTGTGTGTGTGCGCGCGCGCGTGTGCGCGTTAGTCTCTCAGTCGTGTCTGACTTTTTGTGACCCCATGGACTGTAGCCCACCAGGCTTCTCTGTTCTTGGAATTCTCCAGGCAAGAAGATTGGAGTGGGTTGCCATTCCCTTCTCCAGAGTATCTTCCTGACCCAGGGATCGAACCTGGATCTCCCACATTGCAGGCAGATTCTTTACCATCTGGGCCACCAGTGAATGGTGGGGACCGTGTTAAACTGGAAGGCACATGCTCTGTATTTGGGGTTTAAATTACGTTTTTTTAAACATGATTTTAAATATCTTCTGACCCAAGGGTTATGATTTGTAACTTGACATTCACTTTTATATATATTTAAGCCTACTTTCCCACTTTAGATTAGGTAAACTCACTTTGGAGATATTATGTATGGGTGGTATCATATAGAATTAAGGATCCTAGCAACTTTCTTTACTGCTGATCTCCATATGGAGGGAGGTATGATGAGCTTATGATCAATCCCAGCATTGTCTTCCTCAAAGGAAGACCCCGTCAAGAACCCCATCAGAACCACAAGGTTCTATTGGAGCCAAAGGGAAGCAAGGCCTGATTCTAGGCCCAGCTCTCCTCGGTTCACAGGACTGTTTGTGAGGACCCATGAGTTAATATCACGAGAAAGGGCTTTGTGAATTGCCGTGTGCTGAGTGAATATATGGCATCACTGACTCAATGGATGTGAGTTTGAGTAAACTCTGGGAGTTGGTGATGGACAGGGAGGCCTAGTATGCTGCAGTCCATGGGGTCGCAAAGAGTCCAACATGACTGAGCAACTGAACTGAACTGAGTGAATATAAAGGATCTGCACTCTCCATTTTGGGGAGAAACTGGAGGAACGGTTCTCACACCAGCTTGTTGCATTGGATTATTGACATGGTTCTCTATGTCTGAATAACGTGCCTCTATTTATGGAGTCGACTGTTTTTTTCCCGGACGCTCTCTCTGATTTGAGTCAATGAGTCCATAGCTCAGTTTGCCTGTTTCCTCCCACCCTCCCACCCTGAGCTCAGGTCCATCCTTAGAGTGGACCTGGGGTGATGAACCATGGGGCCGACACTCCACAAGCTGTTCTGTGGCCTGCCTCCTCCAAACCCCTGAAGTGGGCCCCACTCTCAGTCACTCAGTGTTTGCATGCCTTTTGTTTCTGTATCTAACTCAACAACACTTAGTTGCATGTTTCCTGCTTTATATTTTAGGTAAAAGTGCAGCATGATGTCATCCTGGAGGCGAGGGGGCGCACCCAGTATTGCCCATAAGCAGGTAAAGAGGGCAAGGTGGCCGAGGGCAGCTCTTCCTGCCAGAACCCAGCCCTGCTCCCTGCTCCAGTGAAGGCAGATGCATGGAGTTATGTTTCCAATAAGAGGCATGGATTTGCACTGCCTAATGATCAAAGTCAACCTCTAAGCCTGGAATTCGAGGCTCTCCAAATCTGGCAATATCTCTCTTGCCTTATCCTCCCCCACTTCCTTATAAGCCCCCTGGCTTCAGGCACCGCGGAGCACACCCCTTCCATGAGCATGTCCCACGTTTCTCACGTCAAGCTTTTATCCGTACAATTTTTTCTGCCTGAATTTTTTTTTTCCCCTGCAATGTCTGCCTGCTACAATCGTGAACATTTTTTAGAGAGAAATATTTTTATGCCCCTTGTAATTTCATAAAGAGGGAGAGGCAAGTTAGTGAGTTTCACCATCCTCTCCAGGAGAGGAAAGGCTAGAGAAACTTAGTTGCATATTTCTTACCTCATATTTTAGGTAAATGTGCAATAAGAAGATTACACTTCCAGCACTTCTCTCCATTTCTCACCCCTTCTCCTTAGAGAAGAGGAGTGACTAGAACCAGGGCCTCAGCACACTGGGCTTGGCCCCAACCTCTTTCTCATTTTGTAGAGCTCCTACTTTATGCTTTTGAACTGTGGTGTTGGAGAAGACTCTTGAGAGTCCCTTGGACTACTAGGAGATCCAACCAGGAAATCCTGAATATTCATTGGAAGGACTGATGCTGAAGCTGAAACTCCAATACTTTGGCCACCCTATGTGAAGAACTGACTCTTTTGAAAAGACCCTGATGCTGGGAAAGATTGAAGACGAGAGGAGAAGGGGACGACAGAGGATGAGATGTTGGATGGCATTACCAACTCAATGGACATGAGTTTAAGTAAGCTCCAGGAGTTGGTGATGGACAGGGAGGCCTGGTGGGCTGCAGTCTATGGGGTCACAAAGGGTTGGACACGACTGAGCAACTGAACTGAACTACTTGCCTGCCCAGGCCAGAGCTCAGAGGTCAGACCAGATGCCCCATTCTTGGTGGTTTTTCCCCCCACTGGGGCAGGACTGGGCTGAAGCAGTGAAGTCCCAGTGGGAGGAAGGTAAATACATGACCCTGCAGACTCAGGCCTGCCCTCAGCAGGCTTCCCAGGCTTTTGGCTGCAAGGTATATATGCCTTCATTCTGATTCTACTTTTTCTTGCTTTAATTGGCTCTGAATGTTGGGGGTGGGGTGAAAGGAGACAAGACATTAGTTATTCCCTCCGACCTCCACATCCAAATATCACATCTTCACCGATGTCTCCTCCAGTTCCCCTTATCTGATGCGCTCAGGCCTTCTTCCTCTCTGCGTCACTCCTTAGAACTTCAGAATTATACTCCGACTGCTCATCTTTTTGTTCAACACAATCTACAGGGGTTTGAAGAGCTGGGATTCTCCTGACTTTTGATGTGATAAGTCATATTTCAAGTTGCAGTTTCCTCTGAGATATCCAGTTCTTGGAATCCGTGTGGTATGGGAATGAAATTGGACAGAAGGCCTGGATTAAGGTCTCAGTTTGAGGCCTGTAAAATATTCAGAGCCCTTCAGGGACCAGCACTGGTGCTAGGTGTTTTCTGAGGCATAATCTTGGGAGAGTTGAGCAACTAGTTTTTTTCATGACAGTGATAGCTGTAGCTCAAAGACAAAGCCAACAATAGTACCAGAAACAACAGTAAGGAAACAAACCATGCTCTGCTGAGGTACCCCGTAGTTGGTAGACCCGGAGCAGAGACCCGAGATCCTTGACCTTGAATGCTCTGCTCCTCAGTCTCATCACATATTTTCTCTGTGCCTCTTGCAATCCCTTATAGCCACAGAGTAAGCCATAAAAAGTATCTGTAGTGACACAAGGCCATCAGTGATAAATGCCAAAATAAATGCTTCAGGCTGCAAGTGTGCTCAAGACTCCACACAGGACTTATCCCCCGTGGCCTTGTATACTCATGGTAGGGTTAATAGAAGGAGCAGGATTGATTGAAGCCCTGGAAGGAGAATTCTTGAGAAGGGAGAAAGGATCTGGGGTGTGTGTCTGTGGAGGGGGCGGAGGTGCGCGGGAAGGGACCTTCTAAGCAGAGGGTCCCACAAAAACAAAGGAGTAGAAACCAGACAGATTGAGGGAAATTCAGAACACAGTGAATTGACCAGCCTCGCCCGACCCAAGTTGGATATCAGGAAGAAGAGATGTGAAGTAGAGCTAGCTAGTCAAGACGATTAGGACAATCTTTACATGATGGGACAGTGGCTTTCATCTTGGGATGAACCATGGTATCACCATCTGAAAACACATATCCCCAGTTGCAGAGTTGAACACGACTTAGTACTGAGCGTGCACACATGCATCCCCAGCCCCTAGACCTACAGAATCAGAATCTCTAGGGATGGGTTGGGACAATTACTATCTTTTTTATCTTTCACAGATGACTCTGATACTTAGTAAGGCCTGAAAAACACAGAGAGGAAGACCATGATGCAGACACAGAGCCTTGGCTTTGGATTCATGAGAATTGGATCTGAGTTCTGGTCTTGGCATCAATAATGCTCTGAGTTAGGGCAAACCACAGTCTGGACCTCAATTTTCTAATTTTCAAGGTAGGAGCAATCATAGGAGTGTCTATCTCGCTCAAACGGTCTTTATGGTGGAAAAGCAGAATGTTGCATTTGAAAGCCCTGGTGCAGCAAAAGTGAGAGGAGAATAGGAGGACAGGTGAGCTGACTCTCTGAACTGGGAGGTGGCACAGGGTGCTTGGTGTTTGGAGCTGGCAGGGCATACAGGGAAGAATGAGCATTGAGGATCAGAGGGTCCTGAGAAGGGTTAATGCAGTGATTCAGGTGTGAGTGGATGTAGTACAGAGATGGTAAGGCCCTAAGGACATCTGTGTGCCAAAAGGATTCCAGTTCTCCATGGGTGAAAGGCAAGCCATGGCTAATTCATTTCAATGTATGACAAAAACCACTGCAATGTTGTAAAGTAATTCGCCTCCAACTAATAAAAATAAATGGAAAAAAAATAAAATAAAACAAATTTCTCCCAACACTGGCCTGGGTGCCCCGAAATGACTGGAGGGCCGTGAAATGCAATTCTGGCTTACAAAAGTTGGCTCTTTTAACTCAAACTCACCAGCAGCTTTACTGGGGGTAAATATCCACAATTGTATCTTCCAGACTATTGCCGTTGAGAAGACTGTCCAGGCAGGAGGCCCTGGGGGCCTC